CTATGTTCAGCGAGACCGGTTTTAACCCAGGCTTTTTCAGACCCAGGCCAGCTGGCCTTGGTGAGTTCCCGATAGGACATCCCCATTTAAACTTCATACATGGGCACTGTATCTACAATACTTCAGACCTTCCCTCTTCCTCTCTAACTCCCCTCTCTCCTTCCAAGATTCATGATCTCATCTTTAAATATTAATTTTACATATATAGACATACACACATGCATTTATAATCTACTGAATCAGTTAAGCTTTGCTCAAATGTGCATGAGTTCAAAACTGACCAATTGGCATGGGTAACTAATGTGAGTGTTCATCCTTACAAGGCAACTGATTCTCTCTCTTAGCAACATTTGCTTAGCAGCCAGTGACTTCCTGTAGCTCTTCATCTAGGGGTGGAAACAGCATTTAAATTTTTCTTTTCTTTTATGTGTATGGTGTTTTGCCTGCATGTATGTCTGCACAGCACATGTGTGCAGTGCCCATGGAAGCCAGAGGGAATTTCTGATCCCTTGGAACTGGAGTTACACATAGTTGTGAGTTGCCATGGAAAACAAACCCAGGTCATGTCCTTTGCAAGAGCTTCTTGTGCTCTTAACCACTGAGCTGTTTCTCCAACACCAGTCATGGCATTTACTGTAAAATCTTAATGAATTCCAGGTAAGAGAGCTGGCCCTGGGGTCAGAACAGTGGAAGAGCTAGCTCTGACTCTCACATGCTGCAACACCCGAGAAAGAGCAGAGTCTGATTTCTGCATGGGCAGCACAATAGAGCTGACCCTGTTGTTGGAGACCTGAGGGTGTGAGAGCACCAGAGTCAACTTCTGCTTCTAGTCTGCCATTCGGGGTCATGGATGAGGGAAATATGCCTTCTTCCATCCAACCCTTGCTACCTGTGGCAGGTGAAAGAGTTGGTCTTTGATGTGGGATGTGCTTCAGTATATGTGTTTATTGGTTGATGAATAAAGCTGTTTGGGGCAATGGCTTAGCAGAGTAAAGCCAGGTGGTAAATCAGAAGAGAGAGAGAGAGAGAGAGAGAGAGAGAGAGAGAGAGAGAGAGAGAGAGAGAGAGAGAGAGAGAGAGAGAGAGAGAGAGAGAGTAGGAAGAGTTAAGAAGACTCCATATAGCTGCTGAAGGAGAAAGATACTCGCTGGAACCTTACTGATAGGTCACAGTCTTGTGGCAATACACAGATGAATAGAAATGGGTTAATTTAAGATATAAGAGTTAGCCAGGAATATGCCTGAGTCATTGGCCAAACAGTGTTGTAATTAACATAGCTTCTGTGTGATTATTTGGGTCTGGACAGTTGGGAAATGAACAATTAGTCTCCACCTACAGGCACCAAGGTCACAAGAGTGAGAGAACTAGCCCAGTCCCTTATCAGTTTTTTTTTCAAGACACAGAAAAAAAGCCCCTGCACCCTGCCGGGGTGACTCAGTAGAGCCGACCCTGTTGTTGCTCCCACCCCTGCAGGTGAGCCAGCCCTAAGGGCATGAGAGCAAAGGAGTTTACCTCACTATCCACTTGTATTCACCGTACAGCAAACAGGAGATAGGGCCCTGTACCTTGCCTGGGCAAAACAGAATCGTACTTGGAGATGTGAGTGAGGGGAACTCACGTCTGAGACCTGAGAGCAGGAAACTGCTCCTTGTTGTGTCATTGGGTGAGCTAGCAATAGCTGTGCTAGAGAACTCACCTAGGTAGTGATGATGAGGGAAAGCTAGCAAGCTGATCAGCCCAGTTACCACCCAGGTTCAGAACCAGGGCTCTGAGCTGACCCATCCCAGTGTCCATGGAATCTACGAACTGTTGGAGAATGTGAAAGGGACAAACCTACACATCCAAAACAGGAGCCTCTCCAGAGCACAGAAGAACAGGACATCCAAGAGGAACCCCAGGGAGAGCTCATTATCAGTGGTGTAGCAGAAACCAGGGTCTTGAGCCAGACCAATGACTCAAGAAGATGAATACTGGAAAGTGAAGATGAATGGACTAAAGGGTAAACTGTGGGATTCATTGGGCCACACTACAGCTTCCACAACAGGATTCTTTCAGTTGATTTGTTTCTTTGCTTTGTTTGATTTTTCTTCTAAATTTGGTTTGGATTCGGGGGAGGTCACAAGGGCAGAGGGTAGATGTGAGGAGACAGGGAGATCAGTAGGGTCTAAATGCATGATGTGAAATCTACAAAGAATCAATAAAAGAAAAAAAATGAATGAATTCATTTAGAAGTAGTTTCCCAAAGGTCATCTGCAGTTTGACTGTTTCAATGGATCCTCCAGTGCATCCCCCAGCTCCACTGACTCCTTCTACCCGGCCCTCTGATGTTCTAATGGAGAAGGTCTTGGGTGAACCTTGAGATTCACCATTCTTTTTTTCTAAATCATTTATTTATTCATTGATTTTATATTCTGACTGTAGTTTCTCTTCCCTTCTCTCCTCCCAGTCCCTCCCTACCCCTCCTCCTCTCTTCCCCACATCCACTATTCCTTAGTTCTATTCAGAATAGGGAAGGCCTCCTATTAATACCAACAAAACGTATCATATCGAGTTGTAAGTCTAAGCACCTTGCCCTGTACCAATGCTGGGTAAGGCAATCCAGCATGAGGAATAGGGTCCCAAAAGTCAGCAAAAGAGTCAGAGACAGCTCTGTTTCCCACCTCTAGGAGCCCCACAAGAAGACCAAGCTACACAGCTCTCACCTATTTGCAGAGGCCCTAGGTGAGTCCCATGCAGGCTTCCTGGCTGTTGGTTCAGTCTCTGTGAGTTCCTATGAACCCAGGTTAGTTGATTCTGTGGATTTTCCTGTGATGTTTTTCACCCTTGCCAGGCAAGCTTGGCGACCTGAGTTTGATCCCCAGTGACCATATAAAGATGGAAGGAAGGACCTCAATCTTCAAACTTGCACTTTGACTTCTGCGTGCATGTCACCCCCATCATACACACAAACAATAAATAAGGACTAAAAATCCTATGTAGATATGAAGGTACAAGGGTAAAACCTTTTTTATTTTCCCAGTGTAATGCAAGGCAGTGCACATGAGGAAAGTTTTTGAAAAAGTACCATTTATCTACGCATATATAGATATATGTATATTTGACACTATAATTGCTATGGGATATTAGACTGCAAATCTCCAATATGTTTAGAGAATCAGGTTATTAAGTTTCTCTAGGTATTACAATTATCTTTAGAAAAAAAAATTAGCCAGTTTAAAAAAAAATAAAGAGGCTACGCTTAAAAGGTTGCTCACTATTTACGTAAGACAGTCAAATGCCTGAAAGGGCTATTAGAGCTAAAAGCATTTCTGCATGTATTAACTTAAAATATAAATAATTGTTCCTATACTCTTTGCGTCTAGCACATCATTAGCAGGTTTGAAAGTCGGCCACCCACTGTGCCAAGAGAGGGGGATTCTCAGCAGGAAAATGTGCAGATGAATCCTTATGAACATATCTCCAAATATTTCTAAAAAAAATGAGGTTGCGATCGGTGGAATCAACTCATCTCTCTGTATAGGCTTTTCTATTTATAGCATCACAGCCAGAGCTTAGAAAAAATGCAGATGAGATCCATAGTTCTCTCGCTTCCAGTGGGACCTCACTCTGTTTTCCTGAGTTCCCCACATTACAAGGCCTCCCTTTCCTTCCCACAGAATCTTCCCTCTGATTCCTGAACTCCTGTCAAAGGAGATGCCAGCTGTGTGTAGAGATTCAAAACGCTAGTGTGGCAGATAGTTCTTTTTGTTTCCCAAACCCAGCTGCCTAAGTGGATACTACATTCAAGGTAAGGCATACCGTTATGGCTGATAGTTTTCACTTTTTCGTTTTAAAAGTTAGCCAATTTTTACTATGTTGAAAAAACAATGACTTCTCGAATTTTGCATGCAAATGGATGGAAATAGAAAACACTATCCTGAGCGAGGTAACCCAGACCCAAAAAGATGAACATGGGATGTATTCACTCATAATTGGTTTCTAGCCATAAATAAAGGTCACGGAGTGTATACCTGGTGAACCTAAAGAAGCTAAAGAAGAAGGTGAACCCAAGAAAAAAC